ATTGTTTTCCCTTCTTTCATCGGGTGCCAACTGTGGCGTTATATTGGCAGAAAACGAAGGAATCAGACTGCTGCTCTTTATGCTGGTCACTGATTTTTCCTTGACAAAACCCCTCGGAAGCGAAAAATCTATATTTTAAGACAGTACAGGAACTGTAGAAGCTTGCATTCATAAAAACTGTCTAAGCGGAATTTTTACACTCAGATTCTGTGAACGAGAATTCAACAAATAATTTAATAGTGGTGGTATCTTTAACAGCTACCCAGTCATCTTCCAAAAGAAATAAATAGCAACGCGCACCAGACTAGCCGGTGCGATCATGTGTTTTGTGCAATTCAGCCCAAAGAATGATTGCCTATTAATGATTTTCACTGCTTTGTATTTTAGTCTATGCAAAAACAGTTCAAACATTGCAAAACAGTCAAAAATTTCACGCACCAGCGCATGAAGGCTGAATTCGAAACCTTGAAAGGTGAATACCTTTCCGTGATTCCTGAGTTAATAGTTTACCCGCCAAAATTTCCACAAGGCGTAGGTGATAATCAAGAGCGCGGGAACGCTGAATTTGAGTAGACAAGGTTGAGCGTGGGCAGGGGGTCATTACCCTAAAATTTCAGCTCCCTAGACCTCGTGGTTCCCGAGATAATAATTTACCCACAAAAACTTTCACTAGCCCGTAGGTGATATCCGAGAGGGCGGAAACGCTGAATTTGAACCAGCAAGGTTGAGCATGGGCAGGGGGTCATTACCCTAAAATTTCAACCTTCTAGATTCCGTGGCTGCCGAGATATTAATTTACCCGTAAAAAACTTTCACGGGGCCATATGTGTTACCCGCGGGTAGGGGAAGCTGAATTTAAATTTGGGGGTCACACGTGGGTGGGGAACATTTCCCCAAATCTTCAGCTTCCTAGCTTTTGTGGTTCCCGAGTCGAAAGTTGCGGACCAGTTGCTGCGGACACACACACACAGACAACTCCGTGACAGTATGGGTTTTGTACTACTGTTACACAGCACAAAACGCATAAAAACTGCTAAATTCGTTACATTTCTTACGTCCCATGCGTGATTCTTCAGCTTACTTAACTCATATACATTGTGCTGTAATGGCCACTATCTTCACGAGTAGTAAATGTACCAAAAAGTTGTCCACTCTGGAGTTTGCAAGTGCACTGGGACATCAAATGCAGAGAT